CTGGCAGGGGGGTTGGACTGGAAGATCTTTCTCGGAGTCCCATCCTAATATTCTGTGATTCTGTGATCAACTGATAAATAATATATGGGAAGTGTTTGATTTCATTAAATTGTATTCTGTGTTTTAAAACTCCTTAAAAATAGCTGTAGCACCACTGTATTCCTTACACAGGAAATATTACATGTATCATTTTTTAGCTATGCCTGTAAATTCTAAATTGGGTTTCTCTTTGCTGGGTGATAAAAGATGCCTGAAAGGGCAGGTATAAGCTGGAAAAAATGCACTGCTGACATATACACTCCTAGAGATAGAAAAAGGTACTGAGTGGTATATAGGCGAGTTCCCTAGTGATCAAGGTATTATGGTGCTGTGCCCTAGCTAAAGAGGTTGACAATCATTCATTTCCTGTTGATTCATTTCTTATTGATTAGTATTAAATAAGCATGTTTAATATGATTAATATAGACAGTTGATGCTAGAGACAGTGTGGCAGGTTATCAAGGGAAATTAACTGTGAAAATATAAGAGAGACCTGACCTTGTCAGAAAGTTTGCCCTTGCAAAGTTCAGGGGGATTTGCTTTGCTGCAGGATCCACAGCAGAGCTAGTGCAGTTTGGTCCTTGTACTGCAGAAACGTGTCACAGCAGTGATTTCAGGCAGCCTCAGTGCTGATCACATCTAACTATAATGAGAACGGAGTAAGTGATTTAAATGCAGAGAGTAATTGAGAATCAAGATACTCAAAGCTCTGTATCTCTCCATCTTCCCCGGTTTGCGCCTAGTGCTGCTTGCCAGGATTTTGCAGCTGTTAGGGCTGGAGGAATTAGTCAGGGTAGGGAGGAGGGGACAGCAGCAGCAGCAGAAGCATCGATCCTTCTCTTTCCACTCCCTGCCTCTTTTGTCAGTTTTCATTAGAACTTTCTGCTACCTATTAATAGGGATTTTTAAACCTAATAAAGAGCACAGGAGAGGATTAAAGAAGGTGACTGAAGGAGATAGGAGGAGATTGTTTAAAAACAAGTGATTTAATAGGAATAAACTGTTTCAGATGAAGCCAGGCTCTTCGCTTTAGAGTCACAATGAAAATCACAACACGAAACACACAGTAAGAACAACGTGAGATGCTTCAACTTATTCTGATGAGAGATTTGTTTGCTCTCCAGACCTTTCAGTTCAACTTCTAGCCCTGCAGTGCTGCAGGCAAATGCAGTTCCTTTTTGTGTGAAAAAAGATATTATCATTTCTGCTAAAAGCATGGTCAGAGCCAACACCATGTGGATGGCCAGAGGATTTGGAGGCAGTCCTATAGTCTGTAGCAGAACATCACTGCACTTCCACCTCCATGCTGGCTACTGCCTGGCAAGTCCCAGACAAAGCCAGCACAGTGCAGTGGTAGAGCTGATAGCAGAGAATATTTCCCCATAAGGGAAGGAGCATCTCCGTAGGAGAGAAGCACCACTACCCTGGTTTGGAGATTGGTTTTTTGCACCATTTCAGGGTGGCAGCACAGCTTTGGTGCAGGCATGTGCTCCCACAGGGACCTCAGACACACAGGACAAGTCATAAGTGCCACTGGGTGTTCCTTGGTAACAGGAACCCCAACACCTGCATCACATTTCTCACTTGTACATGTGACATTGGCTTGCCTTCTGAAATTTCTGCCTGACAGTTAAAAACTAGGTTTCAAAGATATCAAAGAGAGGCCACAGGGTGTACGCTAGAGCATTGATTGTTTATTGGTTACAATTTAATACAAATACTGGCATGTCTAAGTGGTGCTTCTGCTTCCTACAAACACTACCTTGAAACCTCTGAAAGTGTGCACCAGTTCTCGTCTCCTGCATAGATACATTTGCAATAACTAAGAAAAAAAGTATAAATTATTGCTGCATTTGAAGGTGGAAAACTGCAATTTCAAGATGATATTTTTCTGCGAAGAAGAACATTCATCCATATTAAAACCACATTGTATCATATTGATCACATTTTGCTCGCACATAAATCAGAAAATGAAATCTCTCTGAATTTTGCTGGAAGTTTAGATATTTAGTAACACAAAGGAGTGCTCACAATAAACGAGGAGGTAAATAAAAAGCAGGTAAATAAAAAAAGAAGGTAAATAAACAATTAAAATATGTCAAAAATCCCTCCACCATTTTAACAACATCGAGGCCTGGATTACAGCCCATCAGTCATATCTCGTTTCATATTTATTGTGCCGTGTCATCAGTCACATGTATTACTAACACTCTGTTTTCCTGTGCATTGGGAAAGGAATTTTGCAAGGTATGTTGTGCACACTTAGCTTCTTCCAATTTTGTGATTAATAGCCACTAATATTATTTACCTTGTTTCTTCAATTTATTTGAAAATGTAGGCTAATTCAAAACTGGTGGACCAGGAGAAAACTACGACAAGAGTATGGCACACAGAGAAAAACAAGCTTCCCACAGTGGGAAAAGGACTACAACCTGCAACCTATGAATGCTTATGGACTCTTTGATGAATACCTAGAAATGAGTATGGCACTGACCTTAGTTTTCTCTTTCACTGGATTTTAATGTTGTTGCTTTTTTGTTGATGTGGGCTGCTGTATTCTTTTAATTATTGCTGTATGAAGCTAAAGAGGCTGCAAAATGGTTTTCATCCTCACAAGTCAGGTAAAGAAAGGGAATGAGTTCGTAAGAACCAAACTAAACCAGTGTAGCTGACCACACTACTGCTGGTTTGCTGAACTTGCATCTATTGAACATTTCTCATTCTGACTCTGTGTGGCGAAGGTCATTTTCCAAACTGGGGCCCACCTCTTCACCTGCATACATTTATGAAGAGCTTTGCTGTTATTTATTAAAGGAAATTCCCTTGGGCTTTTATTGTTAAACTGTGTGGTACAGACCTGGATGCTTGTTTATGTTTTAAATTCACCATTATTTACTATCTCACATTTACAAAGTAGCTTGTCTGCCAAAAGGCATTGTTTTATCCAGAGGAGAGGGGAGGATAACTGCTCAAAGAAATGTTAAAGAGCAAGACCTTTTGCTCTGTGTGACTGAACTGTGTATGTCGTTATTTTTTTCTTTTATCCCTTATACAATTCAAATTAATGGGAAATTTGGCAGTCTGAAAATCTGCCTCTAGAAACTTATACAAAGTTTCAAACTGCTGCCCATCTGTACTATAAAAAGGAATGTGTTTGCCCCTAATCTTTGCAGGTATTGAGAGATCCTAGTTGGTGCCAGAGTAAAAGTGTCCCTGTCTAAAAACGGAGATTGTAAACCTCCAAACTTCGCTCCAAATAACAAAATCTAGATGTTGCTGTCCATCCCAGGGACAGATACGTATTTGTTCTTGTCACGCTTGCTCTGAACTTTTGGCAAGGAATTGCTATACCGGTGTCACTAGACTCTTGAACGGTATGACTTAATAAGAAATGTTTGTGTATATATACATAATGTTTGAATATATTATTTGGTATCTTAGACTTTGGGACTATTACTTAACAGTTATACTGTGATCTTTCCTTTTTCTTGCCTAGTTCTTCAATTTGGGTTCACAACCATTTTTGTGGCAGCTTTTCCACTGGCACCACTTCTGGCCTTACTTAACAATATTATTGAAATTCGGCTTGATGCATACAAATTTGTTACCCAGTGGAGAAGACCTTTAGCTTCAAGAGCCAAAGATATAGGTGAGCATTTTGTATGTGTGTTTGTTATATATGTGTGTTATTTTTAAGGCAAAGCATTGACCACTTCAAGTAGGAGCAGATTAAGGTATTTTCAGTCATCTTCCCCATTAACAACACACAATTTGATTGTTCTAAAAAGCTTCAGTTACCTGAAGGCAATCTACTTATGCAATCGATTGCCTATATTGGAAAATGCCTTTAATGATTTTCTGGGTGACTTAACAGCCAGGATGTTTTAACGAAGTGATCAGTGTTCTCTGCAGATTTTTCCTTGTGGCAGACACACTGTGTGAACACATGCTGCTGCTCAGTTGGGATGTAACAACCAGACAGGGCAGCTGAAACATGAAAGTAAAGTTAAAGTGGCCACTATCCTGTAAGGGACCTTTGTGTTTTATATTTAACTGGCCAAAACCAAGCTCCCCTGTGACTAAGCAGCTATACTCACTGGGTCCTTGATGGGTCAGACAGGGTGGGTCTGAATCCCAAGAGACAACTTGCTCCCGGTGAGGCACACCTACATTGCTAAACACAGCATTCACATGACTTTGAGGTCACCCAGCTACACACTACTGCAAGGGCTCTCCAAACATATTTTGACTACAAATCTCTTCTGTCCTTGCGGCGTGTAAAAGCAGAACACCTTTAGGAAGGACTCTGTAAAACAAAGTCTTCTGCCCAACACCGAGTCCCTGGTGTCTTTGGAGGAGTAAATAGGATACCTCGCTGCCCATCTGCATTGCAAGAAACAGTAGCCCACACCATGACATATCAGAAGCTCAGGCTTTGTGCTCTCAGAATGGTCTACCATGTACCTGAAGTCTGTGTCTGTGTAAAGCTTTGTATGTGAGCAATGTGAATATATGAGTTTAGGTACAAGCCTGGACATCAGCCAGTATGCAGCGTACACTGCAGAGACAGTTCCTGAATAAACAGTTCTATAACGTGAATAATAAAAGCACAGAAAAATTGATTTCTCAAAATTGGTTGCATTCAATCCCTATTCAGTGAAGTTTTCAGGAACAGCTTGATGCCTCATTAAAATCAACGGATATATCTAACCTTCCTTTGGTGTGGTTCTCGGTGATGGTCCTCATGACCAGAGTTGCTGTGTGTCTCTACCACAAGATCTGTCAGATGGTTGAGGATAGGCCAGAAACCCCAGGTGTTGCCTAGGGGCTGTGTGCCATTGTATAGCATTAGCATACTGTGAAGATTTTGATGCCTATAGGTACACTCTGACCAGCTGTGCACAAGTTACACACAAGGCCCCTGTGACAGGTAGATCATGTATTGCACATATTCATGGCTGACCTGGCAAACCCTCCTCAAAGGCTTGGTAGCCATCATCATAAGCAGGGAGATTTACAGAACTTCTTAAAACTGCCCACATGGTTACATGGCTTGGCAGAGCCAAAGTCTCCATGGTCATTTTTGTGGCTTCCTTGAGATTATTTGCAGGGTAAGCATAATTCCCACTCAGTGGGACCAGAAATCTGATCCACGAAGGTTCTGCTGTTGAATAACAAAATTTAAGTTTTACTCAGTGACTCTTGGAGAGAAACTACATAAGAAGACCTAGGGTGGTGGGGACAACTGCTTCAGAGCATGAAGTATCTCAGGCTCTTTGGTCCTTGTTTTTCCTGGAACTAACATACTCTCCTTGTTGAACAGGAATCTGGTACGGGATCCTGGAAGGCATTGGAATTCTTTCTGTTATCACAAATGCATTTGTTATAGCTGTGACATCAGATTTCATCCCTCGCCTTGTTTATGCTTACAAATATGGACCTTGTGCTGGCCAAGGAGAAGCTGGACAAAAGTAAGGTTTTCTTTGAGAAAACAGATGCTCACGAAAATTGCTTACTACTTGAATAGTTACAGCAGCACTTTCTGTGTATGTTCTGATTCCACTAACCCAAATTTGTGGCTTGTGCTTAGATAACAGATATCAGCCATAGCTATTGATGATTTGCATATTCACAGAATGGGTTGCTGAGTGACTGTAATTTATGACGTTTATGCAAGGAAAACATTGCAGAGCTGTTACAGAGGTTTGGGGTGCATAACAGTATGCTGCACAAGCTGCACTTTCCAGCTGGTGTACATGGATATAACCCTCTTTTCCTTCTGAAGAGATGCTGATATTTATCAGTTACGGATTTCATGAGCATTTTAAACGTATTCACTAGGCTTTTTTTCCTGATGTAGTATTCAGCATATATTGCTCAAAAAAAAGCAGACTCTAACAAGAGGAAGCAATTCCCAACTAATAAATCAAGATACACTTACAGAGTAAAGTAATTTGTTTTTCTTCTAAAACTAGAGGCCTTAGATTAAACCTTTCAGGAGACATTTGTGAACTGAATCCCTGGTGCCTAAGTGGATTTTCTTTTAGTGTTGCTAAACACTGAGATTGTATTAGCGGGTGCACACTACCAGCAAGTACAAGTATAGCTGCTACATGGCAACTTGTAAAATCTAGGCTGTTGGACTTGGGGAAGGTCATTGAATCCAGTGAACACAAATAGACAGAGTTTGCAGATTATGTCCTAGCAGCTCCATTAGCAAGGACCCTACTGTTCAAAGAAACTCAAGCTAAAGAGTAGACAGTGACAGAGAGCTTACATTCTGCTATTAGACATATGGCAGATTGATTTTTCTTCCCTGCTACAGACAGAGAGTTCTGTTGCTGCCTTTTTGCTGTCTTTTGGTTGTCAATACTGTTTAATCACACTGATGGAAGAAGGGCAGCTGGTGCAGCAGCTCCTGATTAGCAGCACTGCTAACTTGCTGTCCTGCAAGGAGTTTGGCATTTTAGTCGGTGCCAGAGGAAATGTTCCATTTATTTTCATGAAGAATTAAAGTCCCTTCACAGGTAAAAGGTTTGGTGTGGTGCCAGTTGTTCCTGAGCATGTGCCTCTGCTTCTGCCATTATGAAGATCCATAGGACATTGAGGCACCATCAGCAACTTTCCTTGATACTGATTTTCTCAGGACCACTGTGCATGAAAAAATAACACCTTTAGAAATTTTATTTTAATGAACACTCAAATATGACTCACTGGGTTTGAAACAAATTCTGCATAAGAGAAGTAGCTTGGCTCACAGAGGAGGCTCTTATCTTTTCACAAACCTCTTGTACAGTTTTCACACTTCTGCTTTTCTGAGTGAATTTCTAGATGAAATCATCAGACAGTAATCCTTTGAAGGAGCCAACTTGCATAAAACCTATTTATGTCAGTATTCTGCTTATTGTTATTAATAAGTACTGTTACAAAAGCAGGAAGCTATTAAAAATCCGCAGGAATAACGAATTTTCTCAAATAAAGGAGTCAGGAACATTGCTATTGAATCACTTAAATGAGAGAGGTGCTTTTTTTGTTCAAAAAACATCTGTAGCTATTAGATCCATATGACACCCAGTGATACTAGAAAAATATTGTAATTAAATGAAGTTCCAAATCCAATCAATATGGAGATTTTGAGACAAAGCCAGATGGTGTTTAAATGTAATTTCTCAAAGACTGTAAAATCCATAGTTTAAAAAAACCCAACCCTTGCTGTGCATTATACTCTGCATGAAACTGAGCAATGTGCCTAGACTTTCCTGTGCTTGGGCAGTACAGAGTGTGCAGCACAGGGAACTTGCCATATCTCTCCTCAGCCATATCAACACCAATCTTGCAATGACTCCCACAGCCTTTCGTCAGGCAACGTATGTTCTCCTACTCAGCATCGTCCAAACTCTGCCTGACCCTCCCAGTGCTCAGCCACTGTGGGATCTTTTAGTACTAAGTTCCTCTAATTAACTGGACATTTTGCAACTTATTTTAAGTGTTCTGCATTTCCATCTGATTTAATGTCCCTTTGTGCCAGTACCATGAGGGTAACAGTGGCAATATTCTGATTATCTTTCTAGTGCTACTCATTATTTTCTCTACCTCTATTGTGTCACATTTTAGGTGACTTTTCAAAAGTAACCAGTTCCAGTCTTTACCATTTCTTCTCCCATAGAAATCTACCATTGCTTCACTTTTATTGTCCATCTGACCTACTTGAGCATTTATTTTATATTGCCTCAACATCCCTTTCAAATATTAATAAGCATCACAGTTTTACTGCTGAATTCATCATACCCAGCAAATCCTCCTGGGTGCAACAGTTAATGGGAAAATGTTGCTGTGTCCTGACCACAGGATTTTTTCCCCTCTAGGTGTATGGTTGGCTATGTCAATGCAAGTTTATCGGTATTTCTGGTGTCTGACTTTGAAAACCGGTCAGAGCCAACATCAAATGGAAGTGAATTTTCTGGTTCGCCATTAAAATATTGCAGGTAAGTATCTGATCAAAATACCTCTCTGCTTTAAGATGTTGCAAAGGAGAAGCATCAGGATAAATTTTGTGTTAGAACTGATTTCAGAATTTAAAGCACCATAATGGAAATAATTAACTGTGCTATTCAGGGACATGCTCATGGTACAGGTTGGCTGTTGCCTGCATGATTCCTTCCTTAGGTACAGGAGAAGCCAAAAAGTGGATATCTGGCAGGTGTTCCTAATGCAGGACTTCTATGGTGTCATGACTTGAATCAGACAAAACAATTGTGTAGAAATATGGTATCAAAGGGCCAATAATAGGTGACTGATTACTTAGGTACCAGTGAGATGAAACTGTAATCAGATTATAGCATAGCACATGCACAAGGAAGTCAAGGTTGCACAGTAGTGACCACACTGAGTTATTTCACAGCTCTGCCAGGCATAAACAGGGTCTGTCCTAAACAGCCTTTATGAAACCTCAAATCCAGCACTTCCTAATTGCTGAATGTCATTGCTTACAGCTGTAATTATTAGTAATAAACATATACTTGGGGTTTGAACCAAAATCAAATGAGCAGTTAATTATCCATATGTCTTTGTCCTCAGCCAACTGATTGGAGAAACAGCAGTCTGAGATTAGTCTGTAATGTTAAATTTGCACCTGATTAATTTTAATGGCCCAAAGAATCAAGGATCTACATAAAGGCCTTAAATGGGGTCCTAACCAAAAATACCAAACAATAAGTACAGCTACCATTTTCTTATTGCAACATTGGTTTACAAGCATGAGTCCTGGTAGCTGCAGATACATTTAGTCCCAGTATTTTTACTGTGAAGAATTAAAATATCCTTTCATGAGTGCCCAAAGAACACAATATACTCTGTGGTACAGCAGAAGTCAGTAATACTTTGTGATATCCTGACATGTTTAATAATAATAATAAGTCTAAGTGGTACAGCATAATGAACCAGGGAGGTGGCATTAATCCTTTTGTTTAACTAACCGATATTTAAGACTGTTGCAACTTATTTGGCAGAAAGAACATTCCAATGTGAAATCCATAGATAACATTTTATGTGGAGCAGAACCACTTTGAGAAACTTCATTCTGCGTTGTTTGCCACAGCACCATTTAATAATGTTTTGTAATTCTGATCATTCTCTTTCCCCTTGTTAATTCCTTTCTTTCCCAAGTTCTGACATGAGGCTGCTGCTACGTAAAGCCGATGGTGGAAATCCCATCAATAAAAAAAGTTGTCCCCTCAATATCCCATAAACAGAACACTATTAAAATTGGTGCCATAAATCTCCAGAAGATAAATCTGTTTTTTGGGGGGACGCTGAATTGTTATATATATATATATCTACCCTTGAAAGAAAATTAACATCTTTCTTTAGCTGAGTTTATCAGCTACTTAACCCACCCAAATTCTGCTAAAACATCAATCATTTTAATTGCACTTCAAGACAGATATTGATAGTGAAGTAAGGAAATAGTATGTTCTACTGTGCAATAGTGTAGGCATTTTTCCAGGAAGGCAGTCTGAACAAAAAACAGTGGCCATATTCAGTTAACTTCTGTTCATCTGGAACTCAGATGGTGCCATGCTATTCTGGTTGGTTATAAAAGGTTTCCCCATTTCTTCATGCGTAGTGCTTGGTTCCTAGCAAGTAACAAAAAGGGGACATACTCTACTGACGTGAGACTTGGACCAGGGCCTTCTGTTTTCAGGATGCTTAGGATATTGTAAAACATTCTAAACTATGAATTCAGCATGCTGCTTGCAGAAGAGAAGATCATGTCAGTGTTAAGAATGTGCACTGGAAGTACTGCAACTTAAGAGAGCTTTGTTGCTGACTTAGATGTCAAGACACAGTTTATTTCATTATGTGTAGCACCCTCTGCAATCTATGAAGGTGAACCTTCAGGGAGTAATGCAGTTTATCATAGAGATGAAATAACATTTTTTTTCTTTTGCTCATCTGAGTTTTCTTTAGTTTCTTAAAACTAACCTAGAAGTCAAGCTTAAGTGTATTATTTACCACAGTATTTTCAGTATTGTTTATAATGGGTTTTCTGTCACATCTAGGAAAACAATTTTTACACTACCTTTAAATTAAGTTTCTGCAATAGTATTTTGGAATTAACATACTGCAAGTAGAAATGGACTATAGACTGTGAAACTTAAACAGATTCATGATCTGTTAATGTAGTTTTGCAGTCTTCCTGCATCCAGCTTTCCCAATAGATATCTCTAGTTACTTTATTGAGACCTAAATTCTTTAAAGAAACATTCTGTGAGACAAGGCACTAGATCTCTTTCTTACACAGCCCTTGCCCTGTTGGTATACCAAGAGGTGCAGATCTGGCTCCAATGAAGTCATACTTTATACTGGGGACGGCCAGCTAATTGACCAACAGCCAGATGGAGCCCATGAGGCAGTCTTACATGGATTTTGGGAGGGCTGTCAGGCTGACAATATTGAGGACATTTATGGGTTTAAAATGAACTTGTAGTGGGAAGAAAGTGGGCCTCAAAACAGCAAAGCATCCCACCTTGCTTCATGTTCTGAGGAGGTGCATGCAAGGCACATGTTGCACTGTCAAGGGAGCTGCTTCAGGGTGAAACCACTGGTGCTGAGCATCCAGCATCCTCTGTATTTGCATCAGCAGTTTCACTTCACTGGTCTGGTCCTTTGCACTGAATTTCCATTAGCAGGTGCAGTATGAAGTGCATTCCAGGAGTGCATTTTACTGTTAGGTTTCATTTGGGTGAAGCAAAGCATGGCAAAAAGAGGTGATCACAACACTTGCTTCAAAAGCACACGCCTGATCTGAAGCATAGTGCAGGCCCAGCCTAAGAAGTAAGCAGTGTTGTAGTAACTTGTACAGTCTGAACTGAGATAGTTTTGGTGCAGAAAACACAATGATCAAGAGCAACTGGGTTTTGGGTTTGCCTTCCTCACAGGCAGCAGGGAGGGAGCTTGCTAACTGCAGTACTTTGCTTGTCTTTCAGGTACAGGGACTACCGAGACCCTCCTCACTCCCCAGTGCCCTATGGTTACACACTGCAGTTCTGGCATGTCTTAGCAGCACGGTTGGCTTTCATTATTGTATTTGAGGTCAGTGACCACTCAGGTAGCAAGTGTGTTTGTTTCTCTGTTTTAACAAAAACAACAAAATGAAACTAATTTCCCTTTGAAACGTTTTCATTGGGCTGATCCATGATGGCAGCTGTTTAGATTTTTTGTGTTAGTTTCTGCTGTTTATATTGTACTTTTTATACTCAGATCTGTTTTCTGAACAGTCACTAGTAATTATATTCTAACAAAAAGGGGAATGCAACACTTTGAAAACTATAACAGTGACTTCCCAAGAGGGGAACTAAATTAAGCTTTTATTTACTGTCTATGTTCTGGCATTCGTATCCTGACTAGACTGGGAAGTGGTATACAGCTGAGTGTGTGAGCAATGGGTGAAGGAACATGTGAAGAAAAGATGACAACTGAACAACTGAAAAATAAAGATAGTTTAAGTTACAGTATTTACACATCTAGCTTTTCTACCCTTATTTTTAATACCATTCATTTGTCCAATGATTTGCATCACAAAGATTATGACAATTAAAAGGATTCGATACCTTTGCCAATGTTCATAATATGTTATGTTCATAATATACTTACTGACAGTATCTCAGAAATCTTTAAGACAAACAAGAGAAGATAACACCAACTTCACATGACTGGTATTCCCATGCCGATTTTGAAAAAGAAAGACAGAAAGGTAGATAAATAGGATGGCATCATTTCCAAAACAAAATGCAGCTCTTAAGGCCTGAATTTCAGGTGCCTGAATATTCCTGCCAGAAACTAGGGGCTCAGCATCTCTCCAGCACATTTGAAATGCCTTTTACACTGTGAAAAAGCTAAACAGGGAACAAATTGTTTGTAAAAACATTTTACTCAGTCCTCTGCTCTGAAATCATAACAACAGGGCATCCAACACAGATATGGAAGCTGTAATCACTCTAAATTATTGGCATAATGTTCATGAGCACATAATGCATTTCTGACTCTCAGTACTGTGTAAATTCAGTCTGAACTGAGCTTTCAAAGCACCTTTTGGATCACAGAACAGAAGCATTTGAACTAGAGTAAAGTTCAAGGGGAAACAATTTCTAGATTATGTCTTGCATAGGGGTGTCTTGGTGGCTCAGCAGAAGCCCAAGGACTGCAGTGCATTTCCCCCGATTGTCATTTTCAGCCCTTCCCAGACAAAGGGGGAATATGGCACTGCAGTTTGGGCTGCCTCCTTCCCCTACACTGGCCTAACTCATTAGAGGTTGGCCCTAAGGAGATCAGCTTTTCCATCATGTCTGCCACATTGAGGGAAAACTTAGGGGAAAGAGAGAAAGATCTGATAGAGGCCTGCTGGTCTTGGTCTCTTTGTTTCTTGAGCTGTCAGTTCTGAAGGTATCTGTCTCCAAAAAGGACTACAAGAAGGGCCTCAGCAGGGCAGCCTAAGCAGTTTTAAGATTAAAGAGAGCCTGGCTTCTTGATACATGCATGGCATAAAGGCAACATGACACACAGGCAAAGATAACTGAGGCAAGAACCTGCTCAAGTCTCAGTACACAGCCAAATTTGCAACTTGCTGTGGAATAGCTTTTAGTACCTGCCCAATACCTGCACAAGAGAATTTCATTTCCTTTCCCCCAGCCGAAGTCATAGGCTGGCTCATAGCTGTCTCCCTCAACAGAGGCCACTGCTTATTGGCACTGCAAAGGGTTTCCTTAACTATATCTAAAAGGGAATTGCAGCAGAAACCATGACTGTCTTTCTCTACGGGAAACACTAATGAGCATATTGTGATTGCTACAGCAATTGCAGTAAAAGATTGCGCTAAGTGATAAGTGATGCAAGGTCAGTTTTCTCATAGATTAACTACCTACCTAAGCTCAGACATCTTTTTGTCACTGCGGGTATGGTTATTTTGAATATCTTGACCTGCCTCAAAAACAAACAAAAGTATTTCCTACCACTGCAAAAGGAATTATTTGTCCAGGCTAAACTGACAGAAGCAGCCTTTTTTCTTTTTTTCTTTATTTTTTTAGATTTGGTAAAAAAAACCGCAATTGAAGTATTGCAGGTTTATTTCTCATAAAGGAAGAATACATGGTAAAACTTGTTACATTTTCTTTTCGGTGGCTTTCAAAGGAGGGTTCTGCTTGGAGGAGAAGAAATACCTTTATTTCTCCAATCTCGAATGAGTGTCCTTTCTGAGATGGAGGATTTTTCTGTTTCTCTGCTCCTCCTCTCAGGTGGAGTGAGTAAACCTCCAGGCAGCATCTTTGATCAAACGAAAAAAAAAGGACACTCAAGCAATCCTCGCCCATGACACTCAAGCTGTGCTGTGGCATGCCTAAAACATGAGGGACTAAGGATCAGTTACCTTGTATTTAATTGTGATGTTTAGTAAATGGGAATATGTCTTTAGATGAGAAACACAATATAGGAAAAACTGTTTCGTTTTGCATAGGTAATTCGTTGGTTCTGATACTGATGCAAGGGTTTTCTGGCAACAGGAAAGCATTATGTCATTTGATCTTCCTCTTCCTGCAGAGCAATCCACTAATACCTGGCTCTGTCCAAACAACCTTACAGCAAATCATGACCTCAGGGATTTGAACACACAGGTCATACAACAGTTTTGAAGCTTTATTTGAACCCAGCTGCTCATAACCTTTGCTGCAATCCATACACCACTGACTTTGCCTGGAGTTTTTATTAGGAAAAAGCTTCATGGTTTGGTTTCTTCAAATTTAGTAGTGGATTTAGATCTAACACATCATCTTCTGTGAATTGGAAGGAGAAGGTTTTCAGGAAATAAGGAAAGTACTTGTGTTCTTCCTAAGATTTTAATTTTTCATCCTTTTTTCGTTTTCACAGCACCTTGTCTTTTGCATAAAACACCTGATTTCCTACTTAATCCCAGATCTCCCAAAAGATCTGAGAGATCGAATGAGGAGAGAAAAGTACCTGATTCAGGAAATGATGTATGAAGCTGAACTAGAACGCCTGCAGAAAGAGCGGAAGGAAAGGAAGAAGAACGGAAAATCTTATCACAATGAGTGGCCATGATGGGGTGAGGAAGAAACTGCTTAAAAGAAGATAGGAATTCTGTTTATAAAACTTTCCTGGTTTTCTACAGTGGAGAGTGCACTGAAAAGAATAGTGAAGCAATGTTGTGCGCACTTAGCACACGTGCACCCATATTTAATGGGGTGCATATTGTCATAAGCCCTTTGAAATTAGAGGTCTTGCAAGGCTTAGTCTTCTCCAGAGCTAATGTCAGCATGAGCAGATCAGACCAATGCTTAAGTCTCTGCACTCTTTCTGGGAACTCTCAGGCCTTGACTTAAATCCAAGGCCCTGAACTTCAAAGCAGTTACATATCTTACAGTGCTTTACAGAACTCAGTGGTCTTATGGCTCCTTCTCATGACCAAGTTGCTGCTTCATATCCAGTGACTGCACATTGGCAACATGGCAGTACTTGGCCATGTGTGTGGCCACCTCCTACAGCACGTGCATGGCAACGTTGCCCTCTTCCACAGAGGACTAAGCTGTGTTAGCTTGCGTTTACCAAGAGTTAAGGTCACATACGTGGACCATTTCCATTACTCCAGCAACACTGAAGTATTTTTTAGGAGGAGATGCTTGATCATTAATCTAATACACTGGCTTAACAATGCTGAGAAAATCAGGTGTGCGAAAGTGATGGTAGATGGCCAAGCATCTAACTGTGGCCAGAGGTATCTAACTGTAGGGTCATTTATTTGGAAATGATACTGTGAAAATTTGGTAATATGTTTTAAAGATTTGAACAGTGCCTTTTCAGCTATAGGACTGTCTGGTCTCTGAAGGAAACAAATCCAGCTAGGGCACGTTGCCCAGAGCTGTCCATGTATTTGTATTGCAAGATCATATTGAGGCCTCGTCAGAGGTTAGGGCGTATGATACACGTAACAGAAGACAGACTGTGTCTTAAAGACCTATTTGCATAAGTAAAACAAAATAAAAAACAACAGATGAACAAGGTCAGCAAAACAAAAGAAGACAGTCATCCAGAATCTCTACAATTGTGACATTTTATTTATTCATCCTTCCATTATCCTTCCCACAGGGTGGAGGGGAAAAATAAAACAACAGACTGTAGTATGCAATAGCTTGAAATCTTTCATGCAGAGCAACTCTACACAGGCTGCTGAATTAGGTTTGGGTGAAATGGGCCCATCTCTATCCTTTTGCAAATTCTTTATCATTAATAAATTATAAATTTCCTAGATCATTAACACAAAATAGTGGAGTTGTAGGTCTGAAGACTACATAAGTGTTGGATTGAGCAACATTATTTAAATAGCTGAGTGTTGCGAAAGCTTTACCACTTCTTGCCTCAAAGTGATAACACTGCACTTCTTGCAGAACATGCAGCGGCATAATGGGCCACAACATGAAGGTTTTAAGCCAAGACTAAAAATCCAAGTGGAAGCAAGCTTATGACCTGATGCAGACAGAGCTAGATACAAAACACTGGAGCTGATCCATTTGCTTAGCCCTTTTCCAAAGAACTGGACCTCCATAAAAATTATAACATTCTCAGAAATCTTAAGGAATTGTGACCTTGCTAGTTTGAAAATATTTAAGTGGGAGGAAAATTCAGCAAGTTGCTTCTACAAGTTCTCCTCAAAATCATTTGATATAATGGCTAGAATTTACCCTTCTGGACAAATCACACAATGCAAGACCCTATGGATGGATGCCTCAAGCTCCACAAGGCATCTGGACCACTTGCACCAAGACCCCATATTGCCAAATTAGATCTATTAACTTCTTTCCACTGCAAGGAAGAACCGTGCTATTTCCATACAGGGGTAGGTTTTCATGAAGGCTTCTATGGCTTGAAAAAGGAGAGGGAAGGAAGAAAATGTACGCACCCTCATCTCTGTAGCCACTGCCTGCCTACACTTTGCTTCCTCGCAGCAAGGGACCTCCTCCAGTAGTGACCCATCATCCTACGTGAAGAGGTCAAATAGCACAGCAGCTCCCATTTATCATGTGCTCCTGGCCCAAGCCTGAAGGTCCCATGCGACAACACAAACACTGAAGGAATTTCGGGATTAACCTGTTCTCTGTTGACTCGGTGCCAAACTAAGTGGGGAACACAACTAGTGGTTGTTGGGAATACTCCTGCCTAAGGAGGAAGTGAACATGTTCATCCTTGCTTCAGCTTACAGCAGCTATGGACACATCCCATGTGGGCAGTGGAGAAATGGGGGTATTTCTGTCTCTGTAAATAGGGGTTGGGGATCAGGCAATGGCATCTTCCAATGCACACATGCCAGAGGGGTTAGTATTTACCACCCACCACGTACGGGTAGGTACTGCACTGTCAGTCTGGGCCCTCCCAGGCAGCATTGCTGTGCAGAATCACATTCTGACCAAATTCACGTGAGCAATTGGATTCATTTGCATACCCTCTGTTTGATATCTAAAACAGCAGATGACAAGAGCTTAGAAACTGTTTGCTAAGTAGTAAAGTCAGCATGAGTCATGCATAAAAACAGTGTCACCCATATGAGTGTGAACCTTTACAAACTCCTGCAGTAAGATACAGCTTTGTCAATGTAGATCTGAGTAACTTCTGAGAACTTAACTGAAACGTAGTAGAATATAAACTGACTTCTACTCCAGAGGAATCACCACAATATAATGTGCCAAAATAGATAAAGTGCAGCAGAAATACAGTCGATAATAATTGCTTTTGAGACTAGTTTTCAGCATAGCTACATTGTGATGAATTTTCATGGCAATACGTTGCTAGAAGTTGTGTCCCGTTCTGTTCTAAATGAGAACATGAGGTGGCTGCTTACCGAGCCTGTGCTGAGTGTGATGCTAAAGGGGGCTCTGACCTCCTGGGCAGATCCTGAGTACATTTCTGTCGCTTAATGTTGACCAGGCAACCCATCGAGGTTTCTGCACTGCTGAATAGATTTCCCTTGAGTCCTTTAGAGCTGTACAGCAGAACACTCAGGAAAGATTACCCCCTTTAACTTATTTTATTAATTAGGAAAACATAATACAAATAATAGGCTAAAAATAATAAATGGAATTTTAATAGTCTCTAGATAGCAAATTTATGCCATTCCCTTCTTTCTGATCTGACAATGGGTTTTGTTTAAACCTCCAGGTGACCGTCCTATATGTTGTATACTTATTGCAGCTCCACAAAAGCACTACCTTCAAGGGAATGAGAAAAAATGCAACTTCAATGCATGCCACAGGCATTTTACATAGCAAGCAGGACAGCACACATCAAAGGATTTGCTGTGAAACCATCTTGCAATCAGCATAGGATTGATCTCCATAGACCACCCTTGACAGCAAGCATGTACTTCATGAGCAGTTACACGCCAGTTTTTAAAACCAAGGAAAAAAATTGTATATTGGGACTGTTTTTCAGCCTGTTTGCTACGTTTTTTGCATTCTGTCCCATGTTGGTTTTACAGACCTTAGAACAAAAAATGTAAATGAACAACCAGGATACTTTGGCAAAAGAAAAATCCTAGGTATAGAACATCATCTGTGTGCAAATCACCAAATACTCCAACAGAAACCCTGTTTACAAATCAGTCCTTTTTTATTTTAAATATTTCTGAGGGGAGTTATGTTATTTATCATATATATATATAATATATATA